TTAACATCATTACAAATACACGGTTGCATAGCGTAAGCGCTCTGAAAAAAAAAGTAATCGGTCCAAATTTTTTTTTTTTTTAAAAAGGCACAAAAAATAAATTTGAGTTTCTAATTGAATAATTATAAGTTCAAAAACTGATCTTACTTAATAATTCGGGACAGTCAATATTGTTATTTAAAAGATCATAAATAAATAAGATGTCAGACAATTTACGTCTAACCTCACATAGCTGAATATAAATAGAATCTGCTACTAAAGACATTGAGGCTTTAGAGATCAGTAAATTTAAGCTGAAAGCAATTGGTTTTAAAAATGTAAACTGAACATTTTCAACAAGTTGATCGGTCGAACCCTGACCCCATATTAATGATCCAAATTCTAAATTAGATCTAACCAGGGAGCAATAAAANCATATTAATGATCCAAATTCTAAATTAGATCTAACCAGGGAGCAATAAAGTGTTTTTAGAGCTTGAATATTTTTTAATTCTCTAGTGTTTCTTAATATAAAACCTAGCATTTTAAATGCTTTATTAATAACTATATTTGTGTTAGAAGAAAACGAAATATAACATGAAAAAAGAACACCCAAATCTCTTATTGACTCCACTCGGTTAATTATAATATAATTAATTTTATAATTGAAAACTAAAGGATCTTTTTTTTTTGGTAAAAGAGATATAATTACATTTATTAATATTTATTGGTTATTTAAATAACTATGTAGCCTTTTACATGTTGAGATTTTCGCAATAAACTAGTACGAATCATTATAGGACCCATAAGATCTACACCACACTTATAAAACACACGAAGAACTGGTTCTACGCGGTCTGTTGGTAAATTGCCCATAATGGGCTGAACTACAATTGGCTTTAAACTAAAGCATATTACACATTTTCTAAAAACATCTTGTGCAATACTACGTCCTCCTATAGGCCAATATTTTAGACAAATCGACGCTAACATTGCTTGAGGGCCGCTGTGTAAAAGACTGACGTGTTCGTGTTGAAATGACAACTTAGTAAATGTGCTTTTATGTGGTAAAATAATCGGATGTCACTGATAAATATCAATGGAAACAGCATTTTTTAAATGGCCTCCTACGCGTAAAACACCATTTTTGTTCATAAAAGGTCTAAGATGAATTAATGGACTCTTAGAAGAAACAAAAGGCGTAGGGTAACTCAAATTTTTTATTTCAGAAGAAAAATAATCATTTTATACATGCTTTATCAGTCCTATGTTCGCTTGACTTAATTCACTGACCTCTAAAGACGCTATTTTTCGATCCGATTTACGTCCGGCGTTATAAATAAAACGATAGCAATACGCGATAACACGCAATATTTTCTGATAATTTGAGCATCTATATAATAAGGGAAAATTGTCTTATGTTGTATTCACGACTAAGTTAATAGAATTATAATTTTCAGTACACTTGAATTCAAGTAAAATTAAATTACTTATTGTCTCTGTCGTGGTTTGACATTCCTCACAATTCTTTTGTAACTACTGTGGCCCTGACCACCATAAGGACGACTTTGACAATTCTTCGGAATAAGAACCACGAGATTTTTCATCCGCAGGATTAACTTGCGATTTCATGTGCACCCACTCGGCTCTTGAAGTTATTTCCTGTATTCCGCCAACCCTATGAACGACAAAAGTTTTCCATTTAGCGGAAAATGATGAAATCCAGGCGAGAACAATATTTGAATCAGTATACAAAAATCGTTTACAATAAGCTATTTGAACATTTTCAACCACCTTTTGCGCCAATCGCGCAAGTAAAAGTGCCGCACATAATTCGAGGCGTGTTAAAGACACTGTTTTTATAGGAGCTACCTTAGACTTCGCACAAATAAGACGGACAATATGTTGGCCTTGTTCATTAGTGGTGCATAAATATAACGCTGCTCCATACGCACGAATGGAACTGTTTGAGATGTGGCCCGAAGGAGACAGAATTAAAGTTAAGTATGAAGGCAAAATAGGGTAGAAGATTGTGACCAACTCCTAAGCGGGAAAAATCAACTTTAGATTGCCTCAAACTTTGTTAAATTGTACCGATCAATCACTCCATATCTCTCAAATCTTCCCTGGTCCAATCGTCTTGATCTCCCCCGCAAATCTAATTTGGATTAAAATATTAAAATTAAAATTATGATATTCTAAAATATTTATTCATATTTATTATTATATTATGTTAATTTAAATATTTTATTTACAATAGTTATGTTTTTAGCTTACATTCAGATATATTTTTTTTAATGTGTAGTAAATTATTTTATATTAAAGCCTTTACTATTAATTATAATCGAGAAATATTGGATTTACATTTAATAAACATCGAGAAATCAGTTATATCATCTTATTTAGTCTTTTATCTCCAAAGAAATATTTTGGAAAAAAAATGTTTATTCGTATTATGTTGCCATAGTGATTAACAATTAGTAAACTTTAATAAATTGCATTGAAAAAATTAAACAATAAAAGCTAAATAAAGCTAAGACTTCTCATTAAATATTTATCATGGAAGGTGACTCAATACATGAAATATATCATGAAGAACTATNAAGGTGACTCAATACATGAAATAAATCATGAAGAACTACCTCAAGATAGTATCGACACATATATTAAAGATCTTGAAGATATTATTCAAGAAAAGTAAATTGTTTTATTTTTATATATTATGTTACTTATAATATGTTATGCGAGGCAATAAAATTTTATTTTTACTAATACTTGGCAATAAAAAAAAATAATTCAGAAAATGTATTCAAAATAATTCTCTGCNTTCAGAAAATTTATTCAAAATAATTCTCTGCTTATGTTTAAAAGCTAAAGTTATTCATTTCATTAAATAAATTTATAGAATAAAAATATTGCCATATATTTACTATCAATTCATATAAATTGATTGTATCAATTATTTAAAATTAATATTTTTTAGTGAATTACCCAAAAATTCTCCTAATTGGATAGTTGCTTCATTAGATGATGTTTTTATGTGGATACAAAAACATTTAAACAGATTTTTCAAATCTGATCAAATTTTGTCAACTAAACAGCTTAAAAAACAAATAAAAGTAGGCATCTAATAAATTTTTTTAAAGTTACTATAACAAATTAATATTATTATAAATTATATAAAAACAATGAGGTATACTGAAAATTGTTATTTGTATCTTCATGCACTAATTAATTTACATTAACTTTAGATCACTAAATTAAATGATATGATAAACCATCATAAAAATATACATTCAACTTATGAATATAAATTGAAAAAAAAAATTTTTTTTTATCAAAATACAATTAAAAGCTTAGAGGCAAACATTTCAAAAGTTCTTGAAGATAATAGAAAATCACAGGTAAATTATTTAAAATAAAACTTTATAAAATAGTGTAATTAAAAATCATGTAGCTGTATTTTTTAATAGTATTTATTTATTTATTAAGCTTGAAACTGCAAGTAAAATATCTCATATAAAAATATTAGAAGATAAAATACACTAATATGTACATAACAATAAATATATGAATTAAATTTTTTTAATAATAAAAATTATAATTATACAAAAAATTTTTTCAGGATTCTGTGAAATCATATTCAACCCATGCTACAATGGAGCTAGAAAAAATAAATGATGTAATGAAAGAAATGGAAATAGATACTAAATTTGAGAATAATCAAAAGATGCTACAAAAAGTTAGTATTTTTTTAAAATAAATAATAGGTTTTACAATAATTTTTAGGAGCTTGTACAATAATTGAATATTAATATTTTTTAAATTATTCATAAATGAATTGTATTTATAAATTATGTATACTTTTATTATAATTTATATATAAATATTTTTTTACTAATATGTTCAACATATTATATATTAACAATAGAAGATAAAAATAATGTGTTATAATAAAAATTGTTATTTGTATCTTCTTGCATTAATTACTTACATTAACTTTAGATCACTAAATCAAATGATTTCATAAACCATCTTAAAAATATGCTTTCAACGTATGAATCCGAAGTGGTAGAAAAAGAAAACATTTATATAAATACAATAAAAAGATTTGAGTCAAAAAATGTAAAACTCGTTGAAGAGAATGTGAACTTACTGGTAAATTATTTAAAATTAATCCTTATAATAAAGGTTTAATTAAAAATCATGTAGCTGTATTTCTTAATAGTATTTATTTATTTGTTGTCGTACGTTGGTAGTAGACACAAAAGTTTTACACAAATTAATTAATGTTTATATAAATAGATATATTGACGATGAGTTCGTCGTTCAAGCTCTTCTCGTGTCCTCCCGTTGGATAAAATGATCAGACCCTATAGCTATTTTATTTAAGAAACGTATTAAACACTAAGTCAAAAAGTTAATATCAAAATGTAACACAAAACAAAAATTAAATCGTATAAAGACACTATTGTCCAACTTCCTGACACGTAACTCGACGTTTTTTCGACAAAACGTCCAGACCCTATCTCCCTATACTTTTTATGTTTCCTTTTTATATTCTTTTTCCTACCATTATTAATTTGCTTACCTTGCATTTCCCTTTTATATGGAATTATTATATTGCTTAAGAGTTTAAAAATTGCTTACTACTATTGTAAAGCTTATATTATACTAAAATCGACGTAATTCATTACTTCTTCTGGTAATTACNTAGTTAGACGTTAGGTCTATAGCTATATCTCAATAATTAATTTTTTTACATTTTATTAAAAATATTAATTATTTTTAAATTTTAAATAAAATGTAAAAAAAAAATCTAAGATAGCTATTTTGTAGAGTAGAATTTAAGAAAAATTTTAGTAAAAAATATCTTATTAATATTGAGTAGTAAATATTCTGTAGCGTTTTGAAGTTTGTGAGAATTTACTTTTCAATGTACTTTTGAATGAGAGTGATAAGTAATAATTGCCTTATCTAATTTCTTATCATGGTATTAATGCCAAGTTTGTAATGTATACACATTATCATCATATATATACACAGTAATCATGAAAAGATTTTTTCTTCTGTCCTTTTCTCAATATGTATTTCAATGTTTAATACCATAAAATAATATATGAAAATTCAATTTTTCATAAACTTCAAAATGCTATAGAATATTTACTACTCAATATTAATAAGATATTTTTTACTAAAATTTTTCTTAAATTCTACTCTACAAAATAGCTATCTTAAATTTTTTTTTTTACATTTTATTTAAAATTTAAAAATAATTAATATTTTGAATAAAATGTAAAAAAATTAATTATTGAGATATAGCTGTAGACCTAATGTATAACTATTATTTAAAAAAAATAATCAGCTAAAAATATTAACTGGATCATAAGTTATTTAAGTTGTCAGTGAGTGGTGGGCCACCTTGTATAGTTTTTTTTTTATGCAAATGCCTATGTGTCTTACAAACAAGGTAATAAAAGTTTTTTTTTTTTTTATTATGATACTTAGTAGCATACTATTATATAAGAATTTTTCCCTTATAATGGAATGAGTATTAGTTTGTGTATTATACCAGAGTTAAGTTTTTTTTTCCAAAAAGAAATAAAAAAAAAATAATATTAAAGTTTTTATCCCAGTAATTTTAACTCTACATATGATTTATATAGCCCTCTAATTTACATATCTTTTTTGTTGTTGATTACTGTTGTTGCTTTTATACTTTGTTGAATGGCTTCTTGTTCTTTACGGTTAATTTCTAGTTCGCATAATAGTCTTTTCACTTGTTTTGCTAATTTTTTTGTCTGATTTCTTTGTTTGTGAGTGGGTCATTTCCTCTTGGGTTTTGTTGATTTGTATAAGCTTTTAAATAAATTTAAATAATTTTAAACAATTTAAATAAGTTTAACTTTCTATGCTATATTAATTTTAATTTATATAATATTTATGAAAATCTGTAATCCCCTAGTCAGGTATTTTAAAATAAAATAAAATACAAAACCCTGAATTTTAACACAAAAATAGCAAATTTTTGAATACGGTATTCATTTTTACCATGAAGACAAATCCAGAGGTCAAATTTTTTTTTTTCACATTAAAGTATATTACATAAGCTTTAATTTAAGATATATTTAAAAGTGTCAGTATTTCCGGAATACTTTCAAAAATTAAATTGAAAATATCGTAGTAACAATACGCATGTTTAAAGTTTTGACCCCCCTTGTTAAAGGGGTATGATCCGATTTACAAAAAAAGCGTGCCAGATGAAAGGGGTATATAAATATTTATTATAAAAAAATAATAATATTGATCCATACATTTTTCCAAAAGTTATATAAAATATAAATTAAATAATATAACATATAAAATCGAGATTTTTTTCACGGAAATCGTACGTTTTTCTTTAACTTTGATGTCCGTTTTCACCACGAAGACAAGTCCAGAGGTCAAATTTTTTTTTTTCAAATTAAAGTATATTACATAAGCTTTAATTTAAGATATATATAAAAGTGTCAGTCTTTCCGGAACATTTTCAAAAGTTAAGTTGAAAAAGTTCTACTTTCTATACGCATTTTAAAAGGTTTGCACCCCCCCTGTATAAAGGGAAATGGTCCGATTTTAAAAAAAAGTATGTCGAATGAAAGAAGTATATATAAAGTATTTATCATTAAAGAATAAAGTTGATTCATGCATTTTTTAAAAAGTTATAGCAACATAATGTTAAAAAATGTAAAATATAATATCAAGAATTTTTTCACAAAAATAGCATATTTTTGCATACGGTAGTCATTTTCACCATGAAGACAAGTCCAGAGGTCAAATTTTTTTTTTTCACATTAAAGTATATTACATAAGCTTTAATTTAAGATATATTTAAAAGTGTCAGTATTTCCGGAATACTTTCAAAAATTAAATTGAAAATATCTTAGTAACAATACGCATGTTTAAAGTTTTGACCCCCCTTGTTAAAGGGGTATGATCCAATTTACAAAAAAAGCGTGCCAGATGAAAGGGGTATATAAATATTTATTATAAAAAAATAATAATATTGATCCATACAATATTTCCAAAAGTTATATAAAATATAAATTAAATAATATAAAATATAAAATCGAGAATTTTTTCACGGAAATCGTACGTTTTTCTTTAACTTTGATGACCGTTTTCACCACGAAGACAAGTCTAGAGGTCAATTTTTTTTTTTTCAAATTAAAGTATATTACATACTTTGTTGAATGGCTTCTTGTTCTTTACGGTTAATTTCTAGTTCGCATAATAGTCTTTTCACTTGTTTTGCTAATTTTTTTGTCTGATTTTGTGAGTGGGTCATTTCCTCTTGGGTTTTGTTGATTTGTATAAGCTTTTTTCGATTTCTGGTTTTTGTTTTATTGACAGATACCTCACATTAGCGGGCAGTGTCATTTTCTGTTAAGTGTTTGAGTGTATAATTATAATAAACTTCTAATTTTATTATTTGATCTTTGTATAAACTACCTGATATGGACCCACTTACTAAGACAATGCCATATCATCTAAACATTCCAAATTCAAAATCTATAGTATAAAATTCGTAATTCTTGTCCATATTGTAAAAAGTTGTAGTAAAAGTATAAAAGAGACAGTTGAAAGTTATAAGTTAGTTTAACGAGTTTTACCTGTGAAAAATAAAATTTATTAGCTTAAATTAATGTTAGTGTAGTTTGTATGTTTCATATAAGCAATAAGTTAATATATGATAAGTATTTAGAATTTTCTCCTTGGAACTGGAAGTGACACTAAAAGCATATCCATTTTTATTATTACAGANGTGACACTAAAAGCATATCCATTTTTATTATTACAGAATATATTTTGCAACATATAAAAATTATGACCAGTGATAATATTGTCAGCTATGATAGATATATTATATCCCCAAGAAATTAATCTATAGAAGGTTGTGATATTTGTTTTAAAATGATGTCATTAAAGTACTTCTCTGGATTTGGTATTTGTTTTGTAATGTGAAAATTTGGTATTTTATTTACCCAGTCTCTGTCTAAAATATCTGTTAAGTTTGCAAAATATATTTTTTCACTCTGTACCTCATGGTGTAACTTAAGTGACTGTATATAAGTCCATGATATCGGAATTACACGTCTAATTAAAAATTTTCTTACATTATTCATTTCGCATGGGTATAATTTGGGTATGAGTATTTCATCATTTTTTTAATAATTCTTGATTACATGGTAAGGTTAGTTTTATTAAACCAGGGTAGTTGTAATTGAGTGTTAAGTTAGTTAGAGTAGTGTTATTAGTGTTAAATGTTCGGATGTTTAAAGTTGGGAGACGGTTAGTTATTGCAAATGTACTTATTCCTATTTGTTTAATTATTACAGATTCGTCTTCATGTTGATTAACACATGGAAATAACAATATTTATTAAGTTTATTAAGCGGTAAATTTTTGAAAATAGCTTCTACGCAGTTTGGTGTTAAAGTAATATCAGTTGAACATTTTTGAATGAAACAAAGCACTGTACGGGCGGATCGCAGTCTCTTAAGGATAGACCTGATATCAAACGGTGTTCGTTGTTAACTGAATTGACTGCGATATAAGTTTTTTCTGAATAGATAAGACATATAGAATCGTTAAATTTGAAATTAGTAGGTATATATTTGAATAATTTACAATGTGCAAAGCTCTCTTGTATAGGAATACTTTTACTAATATTTGATTTTTTGAAAATTGGCATTCTGTAATAGGTAAATTGTAATACACTGATAAGTTACTTGTAGGAATTACTAATGCATAACCATCTTTTTTAATAACTTTTTCGAGTTTTATGAGATCAGTATAAAAGATTTCAGAGTTGATTATTCTAGGTGGAATTTTGTGTAATTTACAGTGCAGATGAGTGCTTGAGTCCCTCTCGTTGTTAGTTAAATTTATTAAGGCTATTAATATATCATGAACAACCTCCTGAATACCTAAAAATTTATTTTCAGTTTTGGTGGTTTCTATTAAGTTGTTATTATTGCTTTCATGTTTAATCATCAATTCCTTAAATGAATCTCTTAACATATCAAGTTTTGAATTAGTACTCTTTGCGTAGGAATTAAGTTCTGAGATTATGTTTATTAAATCAGAATGGTCGGAGAAAAATACGTCTTTAAAAT